TCGACGGTTCCAGCCCACATCCAGACTCGTGTGGGCCGATCGGCCCACTAGCGGTTGTCTGGTGTATCCGCTCACGGGGGACATTCTGCTGCACATACAAGCCGAGCATCTCNAGGACAAAAACAGGAATCATTGTACCAGATGAACGGTGAGATGTTTGGACTTACAACAATCAATGAGTAGGATAATAAGGCGGCCGGTAGGTTGATGAACATAAATAGATGAAATTCCATTTTTTGGGCCTGTTTAAACAGGTTCAACGGATAGGATGAATCAGAACAAATTTAAGCATCTGTCAAATATCTGTATTCAGTATATGTTGTGACACGGTTGACTTCTACGGGGTCTCATTGTATGACTTCGAGTGAAGCGCATTTGGCAGCGCCTTCCTGTCTACATTCCATTCGCTCGGAAAACGGCTGTTAGTCTATGTTTTGCCAATCGCCTATTCCTCGTCAGTACGAAATTCAGGCGCTCCAACTGACGGTATGCCACGACGTCCACCCTCCTCAAATCATCGACAAGCGCAGATGAACCACATCGCTATAAGTCGCAATTGGCGGGGTTGCATGCACAGGAGTGCTCCACTCGAATCAGATGCGTTAGTTTGTGCCAAGCTGTTCATGTGCTTCGGTGGGCATTCTAAACCCGGGACACAACGACGGTTGAACTGCGATAAATCGTCTCAATCAATATGCCTAACCGTCCTTCAGAACGCGCTAGCCGAAAAGCTAGCACCAAATCCCAATCAGCACTAGCCACTTATCTAGAATGATCTGCATTCGATTGGCTTAGTTAGTTGTAGTCTGACGCGTCGTGTCATGACACCCCAGGTTTCCGCTGGATCTCTGCGCATTGACGCACGTCGGTCACTTCCGACCGGCGATAAGAATAACGTAACTCAACTCCTAACGAGACGTGAACTGCACAGATATCGCGAAATTCGGTAATCTGAACGCACATCAGAGATGGAACTTACTGCCGTCATGAGAAATTCCCACAAGCTGTTCCATCCCATTCGTCGTGGGTTGGAAAGCTTCGGGTGTCAGCAAAAAAATCTGTTGAGCTGACGGCTTGCTTATTCATAACCAACAGGGGCGTCGAAAACGCTGGACGGATCACTTCTCAACAGACCCACCTTCTGAGACGAAAATCCGTAAGGAAATCTACAACTTGGGACCTCAAAAAGCAACGGAATCAGATGGCATCCCTCAGCTCTATTTAAAGGTAGTGGAATAAAACATTTTAGGAATTTGGTGGTACTGTTCTTTGAAGTATGGTACGCTGAGCAGGTCCCCTTCTCATGGAGGGGGAGGATCGATTTTTATCTCCATTTTCCAAAGGGCCGGCCTAATGACTGCACCAATCATAAGGGTATAAGCCTGATTCCGGCGTGCTTTGGACCCTGTGGTCCGAGGTTTGAGGCCCGCCACCCACCTCTGGTGGAAGGCAGCTCTGCTGTCGTCCGGTTCAATACCACGCCTAACCTATCGGGGCCTAATGTGGTTCACCACTCCACGTCTCGGGGCTTAGGTTGCCGGTTTCCATCACTGAACAGCAGGTCCTCGTAACTATGGGGTTCGCCTCGTCTGCTGTTCATCACACTCATGTGTGTCACAATTAAAAAATCCCAATAGCGTCAAAGCTGTCAGCATCAATCATTCTTCGTAGATCGTACAAAACGCGTGAGGAACGCCTGTAAGCAGCAGGCTGGTTTTTTCTCTGGTCGTGGATTCATCGATCAAATCTTCGCCCTCTGACAGTTGCTGGAGCACCGCCATTCCACAGACCAACAATCATTGTGTCCCTAGACATTCGTGCGGCGTTCGGCTGTCGATAGTACTGCATTATGGGATTGTTTGTGAGAAGTATGTGCCGATCCTCAAAGAGTTGCCCCACACCTTGGTTGTGGCAATGACCAACGGCTCGATTGGGGATCNATCGAGGTGTATTGACACCTTGGACGTTTAACTCCGTTCAATGGGCGAAACATCCGATGGACTAGACACCGCCTCCCAGTGGACTGCGGTTTTCGCACACCATCCCGTTGCCCCGCAGATCAGGCCCCGGTTGTGAACTCCCTAAGAAAATTCGTCTACTTTGGGCCGGACAACCTAGCAACATCGTGCCCTCGAGCAAATCTTGAAGCTTTTTCTTATCATAAAGATTATTGTACCGCGATTTGTTTGGCACAGTCTGAACTCAGGTGCGTGTGAAAATAAAATCAACTCAAAGAGTTGTATCATCATACCTCAAATCGGGTTAGGGCCTATGTCTAGCTTTCGGCACGCTTTGTCTTCTCCAGTGGAATGCGACAAGGTTGCCCCATATCCCCATTTTTCTTCAGCTTTGCGATAGAGGATATTCAGCAGGACGCTTTGTCCGGTGTAACAAACGGTGGAGTCAAACTCGTCCCAGGGAACAGAGTTCTTGACTTGGAATTTACCGATAACATCGCCTTGTTGGTTGACAATACATAGACGGTGAAACAAGCTTCAAACAGCTTGGCGATCGAGGTATCCAGGTATGGTGTGTGCTTTGAGCCATCCAAGTGCAAAGTGCTTGCGCAAGACTGCATTCACTCTTTCTGGTAATCAGATGGAAATGGTCGGGAGCCTTAAGTACTTCGAGAAATCAATCACAGCTGGAGGTGGGGCTGGAGAAAAAATCACATGAATAGTTAAAGCTAGAGCTGCTAATCTGGGACACCTGTGGCACCGCCTAACATCCGTTTGTCCCTTAAGGAACGAGTGTACATCGTCGCGGTTCATAGTGTTATGCTTTACAGTCGCGATACCTGGCCTCCAAGCGGAGGATGTTAATGGACTTTCTGTATTCGACCACCGATGCCTTCGAAGCATTGCTGGTATCTGGTGGGAACATCGGGTGAGCAATGACGAGGTTCGTCGTCGTGTGTTGGGTGTGGATAGCTGCTCTCTTACAGAAGTAATCGCTCTACTTTTCCTCCGATGGTTTGGTCATGTATTGCCTTTGCTACCTTTTCGTGCTCTCTTTGCATGTGCTAGGCGAGGTTGAGAGCAGAACCTGGGCGGTCACCATCACCTGGCGTAGAGGTATAAAGAAGTTACCTTCGAAAGCCTCAGTGTGATCAGGGTAGGTTTCTGGGATTGTGTCTGGTCACCATTTTCTTACACCGCGAAATGCTCCTATATAACCAAGCTTCTCAACTAGCCTCAGCTGATGGACCCCTACTCACTGCCTTCTCGTGGCGGAGCTCTTTTCCCATCAAAGTGAGAGGACCAAAAGTCGACATCCGGGGCTGTAATTTTCAGTTTTTACAATCATTGACCCTGCGCTTTCGTGCGGCGGTTTTGGTTGCTGTCTTTTGGTGCCACATTTGGATAAAAGAGCAGAATGAAAATTGGAATGGTGAAAGCAAATTCAAGCGGAAGATGGAGAATTCATATAGGATAGTGATAGGGGAATAATGAGTGGGTGCACGAACGCCACTGTTTTCTATAACCGGGTTGGTGAACCATTGGCAGTTCATCTAGGGGAATTGGCTAAAAATCCTTATTCCAAACCAAAAAAGAAGAGGCGTAAGAAGCACATGCACACCTTCCTGGTCGCGGCAGTAATCACCGGCTCAATTGGGCGTCGAGGTGTATTGGGCACCTTGGACGTTTGACCCCGTCCAAAGGGCGTATGATCCAGTGAACTGGACACCGGCCTTCAATAAACTGCGGACTCTGAGC